TGGAGTACCCGGAGAAAACTCACGTAGTCGGGCAGGTGCGCCCAAACTTTTCACATCCGATCGGGGAATCGAACCCCGGCCGCCTTGGTGAAAGGCAACTGCGCTATCCACTGCACCCGACCACCCGAATATAGCAGAGCCAGTTATATGTGTTGTTGATACTAAATCTGCATAGGTCATTCAAATGGTTTGCTTGGTTTTAAATTGTCCGATTGCCGGGAATGGATATTGGGAAAAACAATTATTCCGCTCGAACTTGATTGGAATGTAAAAAGACTTCGTGCGAACTATGCATCATTGTCTACATTTAGGATTTAAAGAAAGCGTTCAAACGTTATTTTCCAAAGTCCTTTCACAGCCGCTGCAATACAGCCACCGTATTTATGGGATGACATACTTCACATTTATGTTTCAATATCGTTTGATTATGGTCTACCTCAAAGTATGTAGGAAACACATTTATATAAATTATTTTAGCAACAAAGCGACAATCTGAAATATGTATCAATAAGCAATAAGTCTTATATGATCGACAAACATTTTCATTCAATATAAACCGTTTTGATAGCGTGCATACACAATTTAATATGTGTACTGTACATATACCGTTACACACGTTATATGGTATCAAACTGGATGTAATACAAATATTGTTAATCGTTGGATGTGAAAATTGTGCACTGCACTCAATAGTGCATACTTGCTTTAACAGAGGTGTATATTTAAAAAACAAAATTAGGATTGTAGCATAAATAATAAAAGTCACAACATATAAATTGTTCGTATTCACTTTCCAAAGACATATAGCAAATGTACACCAAATGAATAAAATAGAAAGTGTTTAAGGTATGGTTACTTGTTTAAAGACAATTTGTTTTTCAGCAACTCAGGAATTGAAAATTATATAATTCCGTCAGGAATGGAAGATCTAACGATATACAAAATAAAATCCAAAGAAGCAAGTTTCGTTGAGTCAGTTTGCTTACCCTTTGACCCTTCCAGTCATAAACACGGCGACACTAAAGTAACCGAGAAAAAGTACGCTCTGTATGTGTCAATCACTGACAAACTTTAACAGTCAAGAAGACTTCTTAAACAAAATTTAAGACACATAATGCTATCAGATGTATATGCTTGATATCATTCCGTAACATTTCTGTAGGTTTGTTGAACGGCACGTTAGAAGGAGGATCGACAATGACATTCCTTAGGGTACGTGTTTCGCCAAAATTTAGAACGGTATATTCTGTTGATAATGCACGTGTTGGAAGGCAGATATTGATTCGTAATGACAATGGAAAATCGATAGTATGTTGAACTTGTATACGAGTTATGTTAACACTGTCGAAGTTTTATATTATATATGCTATTGATATGAATTTGCTATACCTTATACGCGTAGTATATAGATAAATGCATATTCATTAAGGCGATATCCATATGTTAATAATATTAATAAAAATTGTAAATTAGATAGTCTGCAATATATCAGACTGGAGGAATTAACAGATGAATATTATAAACGTAAATGATGTAGTTGTATTCTGTAGTAAAATGTTTGATTGATAGCAAACACACTACATAAATTTTAGTCCTGCAAAATACTTACTCCGTCCTCTCTAGCGTTTCGTCTGGATTTCCACAGAAATTCTAAGATGGCAACAAAGACGGCCAGCGCCAGACCACCAAGTAACACTACGAAGATACCTCCCACGTTCTCCACGCCAAGAGCGTTGGCTTTTGACTCCTTCTGCTCTTCCCGGCTACATTTGCCCGTGCTCTTCCACCACTTGTTGTATAATAGCTGTATTCGTCCCTCCTCCTGCATCTGGAGGATAGCCATTGATAGCCGATCTCGTAGCGGAGAATCTGTGGAAAGAATCATATAAGTAAACTTTGTCATTTTATTCTATATGTATTCTATATGTATTCTGGTCAATCCAAATGTTCACTTTATCATTAATAAAACTATACCTTAAAATGTGCCAGTTTTAATACATATAAACATAGCTTACATATCAATACAATCATCAATACCTGGAATACTGCCAACGATACATATTTCGGTCGACATGTACCTTGCAGTTTTGTGTTCAAAAGCAGCACGAATGTTATATAATACTTGCTGCATATGTTTCAAACCGATTAAAATATATGCTCGACGTTGTGTACTACACTGTTGTAATTATGTTCCAGCAAACACATTTTCAGTTTTGGAAAATATGATTAAAATATCATCATTAAGATTTTGTCGAAAACGCGAACGTAATAAATTACTTTTTGCAGCTTTAATAGGATACAATTACATTACTATTTAAAACGTCACAGGAAAGTAAACACTTAAGAAATGCAACAATAGCCTTTAATCTTTTGCCATATAACAAAATATTATCATGTATCAAGCGCAAAGATTCAAACTATTTTATCAATAGTTATGTACGGAATAAAGGGCGTAGTAAGTTGTCTTATTTTCTCCATAGTTAGCGAAATGAATTTCCACATCTGTGACTATTCATTCATGTAATACTGGGATATCTGACACGATGCCACGAAATCCCTTCAAGTTTACGATTTTTAACAGTTATATTAAAGGAAGTTGTATCAAACTATCAAAACAATCTTGAAACATTTTATTCATTAGACGAAGAATTACAACCGAACATATGATGTCGCACATCTATATTCAACAAGAAGAGCAGCACATTGAAGTTATGGCTTAAGCAATCATTGGTGTTACATTCCCGCTGGTTTAATGGGGAGATAAGACGATACCGCCTAAGTAATAGAAGTGGAAATGACATTTTATCATAAATCAAGTGTACATATCTCTTTCAGGCATTCATAGTTTTATTTGAATTGCAATGAAACATACATAGGCTTCCAAAAAAAATTAAAAAGTATACGTTTTGAATAGCCTATCTGTGATTGTAAAATTGCGTTACGCATTTAAATTACAAGATAAAAGTGGCTTCCTTATTTTTTTCTGTAAGGCACTCAGATATTCATAAAACACACCTGCAGAGCTCGAAGCACATTAAAGTGATATGCGCTTTTGTTTAATATTTTCATCTTTTCATGTTTTAAGAATTTGCCTAGGTGGAAATTGTCGTTGTATTAACATAACAAAAGTATCACTCAATTTTACATAAAATAACACATTTTATCTACAATAGCTAACATTTTTGTCCGAGCCATAAACTGATCACATGAATTTTTACTCTCAGATACCTATACATTTCTCGTTATTATCGAAGTGTTTGGTATGGGTTTTTTTAAGGAATCGATGAACCGAGCAAATCAAAACAAAGGATTTGTTACATCAATCAATTATAAAATTATGTGAACAACCTGTTTATACGCTTGCAATGACGATAATTTGTCCTGCTTATTAACTCACCCATTGGTGTACCTATCCCGAACCCTTTAGAATCTAGTAAACCACCGATTTGCATTAACTTGCAGTTTCGCTGGGTTATGTATTCTATTGATGTAGATTCCATGAAGAAAGCATAATTTTCGTCCATAATTCTCCTAATTCCTTCTTCCATAGAATTTGTTAGCACACTAGGATCTTTACTCTTCATGAAATTCCACATTTGTTGATAAAGTTCAATGTTGGAATCCTGAAATTGAGATTGGAGCGAATAAATACAGGGAAACATGTTACATTGTGCTATTGTTTTCTTGCTTCTGTTCTGTGTATTAACATGCAAGGAATATCCGATTGATTTGAGATTCAGTATTGACATGTACATTGCACTACATTATCTATGAAATAATTAACGCTAGACAAACAATTTATTGCACCAATAAAACTTCTTAGTATATACAGTATGCCAAAATTCATTACTCTGCACAATGCAGCTGTTTAGATTCGTGAGCGATTAGTGATATGTATCTATAGTAAAATGAAATAAGTAAATTGTTTATCATATAGTGATTGACTGATATTTTTTAATAAAAGATTATAAACATGATACCGCGATAAGAAAATGAATAGTTTAAAATGACATTAATTTCCATTTATCTAACCGTACTATATCATATATATACTTATATAAATATTCATTTATATAATCTTATTGATGATGTTCCTATTTATTGTTGTCTATATAAGCTTTATAATAGAAACATAGATATTTTGTTTTAATGTTAACTACTAACACAATGTCGGTGTCACAATCGGTAGGCCATAGGTCTTCAAGGTCACCATGCACATACTCATTAATTAAAATGTCCTTAGTTTCAAAATCATGTATAGCAAGACCTCAGCACTAATCTATTTTTTCTTCTTTTTCCTCCTGATTTTTTTGACAGAAATAATATTAAAAATCTTTTTTCATTTCAAACAATAAAAGTCGTTATCATTAAATCGTATCACACAAATGCGTATACGTAATATATAGACGTTGCAACAATGTATGCAGTCTTTCGAAGTTTATCATTAGAATATATGTTTACATTCCACGTTGGATTTAATTTTTGTGTACAACGTATCATGATTTCACTCCGTGGATGTGTTTAACAACCTCAATCACTGGTTACTGTAACACGTACCCTAAAGAATGTCATTGTTGATCCTCCTTCTAACGTGCCGTAGGAAATCTCGGTCTGCTTTGCGAGGTCCTCGGCACTTTCTATAGGAGAATCCATTCTCTCAACAGTCAAGAACGCAGCTAAATTAGCTGTGTACGAAGATATAATAATAAGAGTAAAAAACCACCACGTCCCCCCAACTATCCGTGTTGACACAGCCCTGGGGTTGATGTCCGAGCCCTGCTGCATCAGTGTCCCCACGGTGAACCAGAAACTGTTAGACAGGCTAAATGTGTTTTGCACTGTGTCTGTTTCTTGGTTGCATGGATGAGGATTATACCACTCATACGGACTAAACCTTGCCAACACAAATATGCTAAAGCTAACTAACAGATATGCTGCTATCACATATATCCATATTTCAATAGCTAGAGGATTCAGAAACGAGAATAGTCCTGGTTTTTCTCGCTTTGGCATTCGAAACAAGATGCTGATTCCGAGGTTAAGGAATGGCTTTGTGAAGTCTATGTATTGCTCCCGCTCGTAACTGATGGTCAGGGCTGCCACTGCAATGTCAGCTTTCTATGACAAAAAGATAAATCTAACAATGAACATGGTTAGTATTTAAGACATTCTTGGAATAGTATGGAAGCAGTAAAGTGCATTTAGATGACAGATATATATTATTTACAACGAAGAATTTCCTAGTGCCTACGAATGTCATATTCAAGTTGTGCGTATAACTTAAAGTATCATTTCTTGAAAGAGATTGAAATAAAATAAACATCTCGCGTGTGGTTTTGAAATAGTTATACAAAATCATACAATTCCATTTGTTACCTTTGTTTTACTATTTGGTTGATTTATAAAGTGGTATACAAATACATAAACATTTTTGTATACATGTCAAGAGGTCATTTTGATTTAGAACGGCCAATATGTCTGTAAGACAATACGCAGAACCACTTTAAATGGTTGCCTTGTAATTGGTAAATGTAATATCCAACCAGACTTCCATCATTTTATAAAACGATATAATTCCAACTTTTGCATGATTTCCTCTTGTTTTTTGATGCCTAAACCTCAGAATACAAAACAAACTGCACATTATCTAAATTAAATCAATCTTAACCCTTTTTCTCCGATGAATTGTTGGTGTGTTTTGAATTACATTGCGTTTCGTGGTAACAGATTAATGTAGAAAACGTATAGATTTATCAACATGACAAAGACCTTCGTACCCGCTGTGAAGATATAATGACACGCATCTCAGCTTTTACAGTAAGAAATGCAAAGATGGATAGCACGTCGCCTCACTCTAGATAATTTTACATGATACACATATGCGTTGCTTTACGAAATTGAAGGATTTTATGGAATATAAGATATGGAACTTATATATATATGTATATATAACCTAACTGGCGTTAACTCTGAGCCACTGCTTTACTTTGCATGGTAACGTTTCAATTTTTCCGTCTATTGTCTTAATAGTAATATCAATTTGAACACCATGTCGATATCAATCGAATAGCCGTGCTTTTCCATTCTTTTGATATCCATTACCATTGCTAAATTCACCAAGTATCTAGTAAATAAATGTATAATACTCAGAAGGTGCTCCCTTACTTCTTTGATCTAGTATTTTATTTCTAGACTTATAACAAAAACATTTGAATATCAATTTCGCTTCAAACTTAGTGTCATAATAAAACAAGATATATACCAAATCAACTGTTTTGGATGTTCATGTTTCGATTATTGAAATCTCATCAGCGTTGCTGGAGACCAATAAGTTGTAAAATGTATGTGTTTTTTTTAATGTTTTAATGATAGCATTATAGTATTATCATGATATAATGGATTACAGCGGCACTGAGCACATACATAATATATCGATATTCAATATGGACACACATACCCTTTCCACCAGTTGGCCGATGACTCCGCTCCACTGACCCTTATTAAGGACACCATATTTACCATCTGGAACCTGTGTTATTTTGTAATCAAAGTGTACAATGTCAGATATCTCCTTCAGTAGATCCACACAGAACCCTTCATACAGATTATTTCCATACTTTCCCGGGTCAGGGTCGTCTTTTAATTCTTCTTTGATCATGACGTACGGATCGTCCTGCAGACAGATATCACATGCGTTGTTTGTTCATATAATCTGAATCACGTATCTAGATACAAATTAAACGGTACACTCATCTAGGCAGATGGGACTCATAGTGGTGTATTGCGTTTTGTTTTAAACAATATGCATTCGACAAGAAAATTACAATTAGGTTTTTGTGAAAATCTGTTTTTCCGTTTTAAAACGGAACTGAGGGTATACGAGTAAACATAAATACATAAATAATATCAGGATCAACACACCGAAAATAAAAACTTTTACATAAAAATAGAATAAAATAAACTGGTAAAAAATGCCTATGATGAATACCCTAATAAAGCCAAAGTTGAATCCTTGTGTTAAGGATATGCAAACTTTTCCTGTCCCTCATGGACACCCGCCATGACTTCTACCGTGAAATCAAAGACACAGTGGATACACTGATGATGACATTAATCACACGATATCAATCGTAAATTTCTTCTATGCACTTGTCTCAATAGTTTATTGGTCAATGGAACACCTCTATCAAGAAATACTTATACTTGACAACTGGTTTTGGAAGAACGAAGTATCTGTTATATGAAAATGATACTAATAAGGATAGGAAAACTGACGATCGTGCAATTGAAAATAGAGTTATAATCTGGTTGATTGCCACAGTATAGAAACTTTCCGATGTTTGTTGAGATCTCGTTTGATCATTGACAAACTTTCAGGCAAATTATTCTTCAGTGATATTGTGATTGACGATCCTCCTATATTAAATGTGATTTAATGTTTAGTCAATTCGTATCATTTTGAAACGTTTCAATAATTCATATTACTGTAACTTTATTTCGGATGTATCTCTTCTTTAAAAAATGGAAGTAAACTTTACTTGCTGTATGTTGAGGAAATATGAATCCAGGGCCATATTTGACGATGCAATCAAGGCATATTTACTATAATGATTCGTACTGATGAAACTAGATTGCTGATTATTATTTTTCGAATCATTGATGTTCTCTTGTCGATTGCTTAACGAGCTATGCGTATATACAGATACAACATAATACCCAGAGGGTAAACAGTTATCCCTATGAGGCGATTGAGTTACTGGCAAAGTCAATCAAGTCTTCCTATATATATTTTCTAGTTGACCGATAAATGATGCAATTAAACGTATTTCCGTTTAACGCTGCGTCCTGCATTTTGATCGTAGCAAACCTCATCCATTCATGTTGCCTTCCAGATATGAGCGTGAACATTTCCAATTTATCACTATCACGGTAAATCAATCAATCCAAGAGAGTCAGTGAAACGTGGCTAAATGCGAAACGGCTAACACTGTACATAATTTACTATTGGGAGCTATTAGACAAACAGTAAATTTAGCTCACAAGTAGGAGCATAAGTATTATATGTTTTGCGGATTATACCAACTATGCAATACCGCTATACATACACAGGGGAGATAAGCGTTCCTAGTAATGAGGAGAACATACCAGTACAGTTGTAATTATTAGTGTTTTGTTGCCTAGAACCCCAACCGGATTGCTGTCTTTATAGGTGAAATTGAATCCACTCTCATGTGTCCAAAGGCCAGCCTGTAATGGAAAAAGAAAGGGCTGGTAACAAATTTATTAAACAGTTATGCTACTGATGTTATCGGTGCCAAGACATACAAATAGAAAAATCGATTTAGATAACAGCTGACAATCATATTTCGCGAGAGGTATTGTTGTGTTTGATATATATACATTACGTCATACTATTAATATTTAACTGATGATAGACATAATTTGAGGTACTGACATAGTTAGCAAATTCAATCTATATCAGAGAAGGTCCTCTGTACATATGATTATTATTCACGACCGCCATAAACCACTGTTTTCATCAAATGCGGTTTACTACATTATTCCGAATTCATATTGAAGGGCCGACTTGTACTGCGTTCAATGCTACGTTCACATATATCGTTTATGTGTTGTATTCAAATCAAAATTTATCTCGTTGATCAAATCTTTCCTTATAATCTTTTTTTTAAATATTCCTTGGACGATATTGTGGTAGATGTGTTTATTATGCTAATTGTTGTGCGTTGTTTGTTTCGTTGCCACTTCCATGCCTCTCATTTTTGGGACGAGACATCATTTCTGTAATATTAATAAGCAGGAAATACTCACCCTTACGATGACCTGATCATATTCACCTTATAATTGACCTCCGTTTATTTTTTTGGTGCATACTCTGCCATCCTTTCATTGATTTTCGATTTTCCCACAGAAATGATTTTTGCCCATACCCAATATATCGTTCACCATGAACTCTACATATTGCCGATTAAATTAAACTACATTGAGTGTGTTCAGATTATACCCTACCAAGCAATAGTCTGGCACCTAACATTCATTACATGCATATTTCTTCTCTCAGCAAGTAGGACGTCCTTGTTATGAATGTCATCGATCAGTTATCTGCATGCTCATTCTGTAACTTCTATAAACTATTTTTTTCATTGGCAGGTACCCATGACACTTTATTCCAATTATTGTTGTGTATATGTTATTGTGGTTCAGTATTTTTTTTTTAAACAATAATATTCTTTTCTTTTAATTTGAGAACTGGTGAATTGCACAATGCTGATGCTCTCTTTTACAGAAAACTAAAACAGATAGCTAAAATCATATTACAACCTTTGTATCAGAATGTATTACTATATACTGTTAATTCTCAAATAACACAAGCATGTCAAGCCTCCAGGTGATTTCCATTGGTGAGTTTATATTATTTTTTCATAGAATTTTTAAAAATCCATATCACATTATGGTTGTATTTTCAGATGCATATTACCATTGGATGTCTTCTTAAACATGTTTTCAAAAAAGTCATTTTGAAGTTGAAGTACTTCCTAAAATCTTTACAACGGCGAAATAACGAATAAATACACGCTACCATTACACTGAGGGTGATTTAATTTTCTTGGAATTATTAACAAAATATCTGTGAAACTGGCCATTGCATTAAAAACTGTCACAGACAAGATGAATACGATATGCAGATTGTAAAGCACTTACAACTTACAGAAGTGTAATTGAGTATTCCATATATTACCTAGTATTTGATATAACATTAAAGTCACTTACTTTGTAGAGCCCTTTCTCATTGAGCTGCATCACGTCGAGTTTGAAATCCAGTCTCCTGCCCTGTTGTAGCCGTATTTCACCCGTAAGACCGCGCACATGTGACTGGGGATAGAATAGTATGCAAATAAACAGTAACATAACGATATATTATCAATCGACTTCGCATTGTAAAAGCTGACAAGGGAAAAGACGACATCGTAGTCGTAACAAGGCCAACAGATATGTCATTAGTAAAAAATATGCTCAAATAATTCGTCTTTAAAAAGGGCAAGTGGAATGAGAGTTTGTAAGATAAGTTTTTCCGGATCAGGAAACTTTCTTTCGTGCATTTTCCTAAAAGATGACATGTTTCAAGTGACATAAATAGAAAAGAAAAAAAAAAATGTTATTGTTTCTATAAAGTGAGATTCTTTTCTCACGAATGCTACATTGGAGTAGATATTTGGATACTAGTGACGTTCTTTGACTTGGTCACGTGAATTACGGATTAAGCTGACAGATAAATAGGGAATGTTGTCATTTTGGAAGAGAACAATGTTTTGTTAGCATACATATCACATGTATGGTCAAGTTTTAACATTTCGTGTATGAAATGAAACTGCGATTATGACAACGACACAGCCAAAAATATGCAAAAAATATCCCAATCGCATGAACATTGCCATTAAATTATCTTTTATGGCATATATAGTCTACTTCGTTTCGTACTCCACAAAATACGTGCTTTTTAGCGTTCCTTATATTCTTCACCAAAATACTGAAGGCATCAATAACGTTTGACTATTTTCAACATTTGTTTGATTCCAACAAGGATGTTAGTTTTGATCATACTCAGTGGGTGCCGGTGAATATATTGGAAACCAATTACTAGCTTCGCATTCAACGTGGACTTGCAATTTCCTGTTTAATCATTTGCAAGCCTCTGCTGAGCAATTCATGGCTGCACAACGCCTTTTTATAGTAGAGCGTTGCAGGAAACCGTTAAGCTCTGTATATCATCCCGAAATGGCGCACACACTTTCAACAAAAATATTTGACAAATTAAACAACTCTAGCCTGCATGTAGTAGTTCGTGGAATTTGTTGCGGAATTAGACATGTGTTGCTCGTCAGTTACCGTATATTCAGTTAAATATTTAAAGGTGAAATATATTGCTGTGGCTTTTATTGCATGGTAACTGTGAAAATTCATCTTATCAAACGCTCGAACACTGGATTGTTTGTCTGAAGCACGTCTGATTCATTACAATTGTTATATATCCGTTTACTTGTTTGCCTTTAAATAGTTCAGTACTGCCAATAATGGCTATTGAAGTTCTGTTCTGATGCATTGACCACATTTATTAACCGACTCTACATATACACTTACTACGGTGATGGACTTATCTACACTAGTCATAACATGGTGAGGTGCTTTCTAGGTTGTGATCCGTATTATAGATAGGTATTATCCTCTTTAAAAGTTTATACTTAACTATGGCACTATCATTTACTAGCAATTACCGCTATGGTGAAGCATTGTCCTGTATAAAAAGACTTATCATTATGAGGTTCAACCATATACAAGACAAACCTATTTTTCAGTTGTAAAATAACTGTTTTCTAGTGATAATATTAAATTCTACATGTTTGTTTGTTTGTTTGTTTGATTTTGTTTAACGTCCTATTAACAGCTAAGGTCATTTAAGGACGGCCTCCCCTGTGTGCAAGATGCATGCGTGTAGTGTATGTGTGTGTATTTTGGGAGGCTGCGATATGTTCGTGTTTGTCTCCTTGTGATAGCGCGGAACTGATGCCGACTTTATAGTGCTACCTCACTGAAACATACTGCCGAAGACACCCAGCAGGACGCCCCACCCGGTCACATTATACTGACAACGGGCGAACCAGTCGTCCCACTCCTAATTTGCTGAGCGTTAAGCAGGAGTAGAAACTACCATTTTTAAAGACTTTGGTATGTCTCGGCCAGGGGACAGAACCCAAAGCCTTCCTCACAGGGGCGAACGCTCAACAAATGGCCAAAAGTGAGGCATTGTCAAGGGAGACATTAGGAAGAAGAAAGTTATTTAAAAAGGAGAGAAGAGATAAGGTCCCAAAATTGGTCGCCTCTTACGATCATGCAATTGGGGGCAGCAGGTACAATTCTTATGCCCTACCTGCAGGGTTGAAATTCTACATGTGTGTGGTTTTGTTATATTATAGTTTGGTACTTTTACCATTGTCTATGTTACCATAGTGAACTATTACCTAGTGTTAGTGACCATGTTAAGATTCCTTTTGTAGTAATACTTACCATTGTGAGGAACTCGTAGAGACTGCTGCCTGTCGGCCAGACGTAGTCCACATCACAGGAGACGTTGACTGGTCGGAAGGCAACACTTCTGTCCATCTCTTCTAGAGCTTTAGCAAACAGCAGCACGGCATCAAACATAAGTGCGGACTCGTACTGAAAGTGTATAGAACAAATTCGTGCAGAATAAATACGCTTGCGCTGATCACATAAACAACGAACTCGTAGGGGACAGTGGAAACGCAGTGACAAAGTAAACAACAAACACTCTCGAACAGGTACAAAAGGAACTAATTTGCACTAAAAAGATAAAATGTGAATACATTATACAAAGGTTAACACACAAATCTCGCTGAACTGTTAAAGAACAAAACGAACTCCTACTAAACAAGGTAAAAAAAAAAACCTGCATTGAATAAGAACATAACAAATGCATGTTTTGCATTTAATTTAAACACCGAGCTCTGCTGTAATAATATCCAGACTATATTAACTTGTACAGGTCCCTTCAAGAAATTTCAGTTTGGACTCCAAACTTGCAATCCCTGTTTGAAGAGGTGAGCATATAATGAGTCTTTGTATATATATATATATAAGGTTGTGCTAGTTTAACGAACGAACTAATACTTGCACCACACCCCTGAGTATGATTTCATTATCACGGCGTTATTGTTGTGCTGTTCATAAAAGCGGTTATGAAAAGTGTCAAGACTGCTATGAAATCCACTAGTACATGAAACATTACCACATGCACAACAGCAACATAGGAATCATGAATTTGTGAACAATAAATAAAACACCAAAATGTAAAACACTAAAACATACAAACTCCCCTCCGATAGGATACGAAAACCATGGCAAATTTTAACTGATTATATTTAATTGTATTCAAGTTAATACATCTGATCCATGGAGTTTATTTTTTTAACAAAACTGTTAATCCTCTCATTATACAATAAAAGACAAACTCTAAGACTGATAGATTGTCCGTTGGACGTTGAAGAACTGACGCAGAATTCGGTCACGGTAATAGCTTGTTATGTTTACTGCAAAAGTTCAGCCTACGGCGACACCAACAGCATACAGTAATGTTATGAGTGTCTTTCCTAATGCTAATTCAAATCAAATGTTCTCAATCAATAGAAGAATAAAATTGAATTGTGATCATATTGTATCATACATCAATATTAATTATGTGTGGATGTATCAGCCTTAAGTTCTGCTACTTCACAAACGATATTTTGCAGGTTTAATACAATTCTGTTCCTTATCAATGTTCCGCAATAAATGAAATATTTACCCCTTGGCTAGAAATATGTGTTATTGATATAGGAATTGTATATGACACATAAATAACAAGACACGGAAACTGTTTCTATGTAGGTGTTTACATTTATGATAAAAGATAATGCCTTCATTTACGAAAGCCTTAGGCACTTTCTTCCATTTTGTGTCTCCGTTTCAGCAGTATAAAATATATCTATGCATAACCGCCGCATGAGGTGTCAGGGCAAGAATATATCATTAGCACAACACTATCATTTAAATTTGGTAAACGGCGACGATGCATTTCCCATTTACGTATACACCCATAACTTGATCATTTAAATCACCGGAATAATATTTTGCTTCTGGATTGAAAATTAGTGAACGTATACCTCAGGATATAAAAGCTCTATTTTATCACGCCAGGAGATCTGCCACACACTGGGTTATGCAAAAGCTTTTTCAGTTACATACACACAATTATTCCAAGAAGAATAAAAGATATGTTTCTATTATTCTGCAATTAATTCTATATTTTTTTTACCACCGTGTATAACACTTGTTGCTTCTGCTGTTTAAGAAATATTGATTTTGAGTCGAGCACACATTGCTTGGTTAATTGGAAATGATCAACAATGTTCATCATTGCCGATTCAATCAGCAATGTGTGTTTGACTCAAAGTCAATGTTTCTTGAATTAAGGTATGTACATGAATGTACATAGAAATTGCAATTACTTTTACAACATACTATGAACAATACTGTAATATAAAAATTAAAACTAGAACTTTAGATTGATTTGTAAAATATTGATCAGCAAACACTGTCTTGAAAAAACAATGATTGTTATCCTAACATCAACATTTCACTAGGGGAGTTTTGTTTGCGAAATTCTTAAAAGTACATGAGAATTCAAGCTATTTTGTCTCGATCACATGGCAATGCCGACATCAAGTCGACTTTACCAGCTCATTGTTGTATGATCTTATATGCCATGTATATCAAAATGAAATAAAATGCTGAGCAAACTGCACCACCCGTCAAATGAAAAGACTAGAGAGTTCTATTGATTTTATGTATTTTGACAATGGCTTTGCTCTCAAGACAATAACCGGAATACGAACGCATTCATTATATTGGCATCAGTTCTGGCCAGCGTACCAAGAGCCATGCGAGACCGGCAACACAAGGTCCCTGGTGCGAAAGGCCAATGCCAAGTGTGAAAGTGTAAATATCTGACTGGTATTGTTAGTTTCGCTAGATGTCCTTTGCTCTGGGATAATAATGTTCCAGCGGGACACGCATGCTCTGGTTAGGAAATCGATATCCGCTCTGCAATTCGTCACGGTTGTAGCTACATTCAGTCTGAGGAAATTCCTATCGCGTCAGTAAACTCTAGACACAGTAGCCTACTTATCGGTACATACATCATACCGAAATACATCTGGCTCGGATTGAGTCGAGAATCAGAAATGAAATATTCGGAAACCAGGAATCTAGTTACATGGCAATTTTCTTAAATATGTTTGGTTTACAACCTATCTAGACTATATACAATGCTATAACGCATTAAGGATATTAACTCCGTGTTAAAATTCAATTTCCATATGAAATGAAGTAATCTGATAACACAAGATCAATAGAATCGTGTCCTCAAGGATTGCTAAATAGACTTTAATGTGCATGTCTTGAACATGTTCATTCAACCCACAAACAGAACAGTCACGTCATGTCGTAGTTTATATCTCAACCATTATGTCATCTTGAAAACTATAACACAGTGTTATGGATATTTCATATTTAGTATTCAAAAAGTATGTCTGGTTCCGAGATCTCCTGCTTTGTACATGAGCTGTAAGTTTTCAATTTTTGTTTTATCATTTTTTTTGTGTTGTACCAAAATATAAACGCGTACAAACCTTTGTAGTATTGTCAAAGTAGTCAAGACGTTGTTGTTATTTTTTTTATGAATTTTACATAGTGTTTATTTCATTCAACATGTTTAAAGGAATAAATGACAAAACAGCATCACAGACTGTGGTACGGTTTCGGGATCGCACAACGTTACACGATGTGCGGTGTGCGCACGATGTGTGCACGGTGTGTAAACGGTGTGTGCACGATGGGCGAACGATCAAAAGCTGGACGATCATTGCTTGCGCACATCTGTGCGCACAATGGACGGACGTTGTGCGATAACAATCGTGGTTGGTGTAAATTGAGGAATGACTTAACAATTTATACGGTTTCGTGTTTAAACATATACACTTGGTGTTTACGTAATGTTTCTATATTCTAGCAACATCTATAAACTTATCTTTCTGTCTATACATTCTTCTATTTAGTAATTGTGTTTTCTGTGTTTTTAAACAAACTTAATCGACACATGTAAAATTACAACACAATCCCGTATACAGGTAAACATAACCACTTTGTACATGTACCTGGACCGTAGTTTTCTCCCCGCCTGGGGCACTTA